GATTCTACCGCATTCTCAACGCTGGCGTGGGGTCTGGGCATCCCCAACATCCTGTTCTACGGCGTGGAGGGCGAGTTCAACGTGATGGTGATGGATCTGCTGGGGCCCTCACTCGAGGACCTCTTCAGCTTCTGTGGTAGGAAACTCTCGCTGAAGACCACGCTGCTGCTGGCCGAGCAGATGATCGCGCGCATCGAGTTTGTTCACAGCAAGAGCGTCATCCACCGCGACATCAAGCCGGACAACTTCCTGATGGGCACCGGGAAGAAGGGACACCACGTCTACATCGTAGACTTCGGCCTCGCCAAGAAGTATCGCGACCCCCGCACGCACCAGCACATCCCGTACAAGGAGGGGATAAGCTGTATTGTAAAGTATTGGTTTTTGTTTTTTTGCAGTAGTTACTTTTGGTTTTTGTTGTTGTTTATAGTGACGGGTGCATCTTGTCGGTATGATTTTTTTTCTCTTTTTTTATTACGCTGTTTATTTTTTATTTGTTCTCGAATAATGTTGTGCTTTGTTGTGGGCGTTTTTGCTTAAGTGGTGGTGCTGTTTTTTTTTTGCGTATTCTGCTGGATGTCGCGAATGAGGGAGTTCCGTTTTTTATTTGTGTATACTGTTGGTTCTGTGTTTACTGTTTTTTTTTTTGATGGAGTGGGTTCTGGGGGGTTTGCTGTGGCTTTTGAGAAGAATTATGCGTTTGCTTTTTGCGGCATTGTCGGTAGCCGTGTAGGTGTTTGAGTGAGTGGCAAGTGTCTGTGCCTAGACGTATGCAGTGGTTTGTGAGTCTTTCTGTCTGGTTGTGCGTGTGTGTGGAGTTCCTTTGGTGGGCTCCTTGCCTTTGTAAGCATTTTTTTGTTAAGTGGTGTGGAGTTACTTCCCTTTGTCGTGTGTGTGTGTGTGTGTGTGTTGCCTCTTCTTCTGGTGGTGGTGCTTTCTTGGGGTGCGCTGCCTTTTTACGTTTGCCGTTGTTTTTTTTTGTTTGTTTGTTTGTTTGTTGTTTTGGCTGCCGCGGCTGCCGCTACACGTCAACCGCACTATCTGGTGAAGTGGAAAGGGCGATTACAGACATAAGGAAGGAAGGGATCAAAGTCAGCGATACATACACCCACACATACACACTCACATATATATATATATATATATATACTGCTGTTGTTGTTGTCGGCGTGCATGTGTGCCTGCGTTCGTACTGGATCCATGGCGGGCAGGTACGCCCCACAACCGCCGGCTCCTGGGGCGCCAGCGTGGTGGGACTGCACGGAGGATGCGGCGGCCTCACTGGGCTACGCGGCTGCCGCCTACGGGGAGCACGAGCCGGCGGCGAGGCCCATCCTGGCGGAGCGCTACAAGACGAAGCTTTGCCGCAACTACGTGGAGACCGGGGTGTGCCCCTACCAGTCGCGCTGCATGTTCGCCCACGGCGTCCACGAGCTCCGCTCGCCGGCGATGAACTTACACGACGGCCTCGTTACGGCGGACGCCATTCGCGCGTTTCGGCGTCGGCGGACCGCCCCACCGTACCTCTACGCGGCCGCGCGTGGCCCCGCCTCCCGCTTCAGGGCGTCGAGGGCGGCACCGGCGGCAGCATACACGCACGACCCCTACGCCTGTGACCTCCTTCCGCTGCCCAGCCGTCTCTACAGCCAACCACCGGGCCTGGCGGCGCTCTTCTGCGCGACAGCGGCGCCCTCGTGCTACAGCTACAGCGACTCCGTTGAAAACCGCGATGGTTGTGCGTCCTGTGTTGAAGTTGCGCGGCCGCCCAACAGCTACGCATGCACTAATTGTGACGCTGAGCCTTCCGCGTGTAGCAGCATTGGCAGTGACTCGGAGGATAACCGCCAGCCAACAACGCCCCGTAAGGATTATATCAAAGAGCAACCGCCCGCAGAAGTGGTGGGGGATGAAGCAGCGACATCGCAGTGAATTGCCCTGACTATGTAGCTGTTTGTCGTTCCCCGCTGTCTGTTTTTACTTGCTGTTTTTTTTCTCTCACCCTTCTTCATGTGTGCGAGTGTGTTTTTTTTTGTGTTTTTTTTTAATTTTCCCCTTTTCCCGTACCTCCTCTCCACTGTTTCTGCGTTTTTTTTGTATTGCTCGTCGTGCTGCCGCCGCCGCCGCTTCCCGTGCACGCGTGCCGATGCCGAGGTGCGGCAGCACGACGCACAGAGAGGGACCCGACGTCTGCAACGGAGGTAGGGGGCAAGTCTGTTCCTGGGGACTGTGGGTAAACGGAAGAAGCGGGATGTGTGTGTGTATATGTGGGAACGGCGGGGTTGCTTCTTTTCTTTTGTTTCTCGACGTGGTTGTAGCGGTGGCGGCCGCAGCTCTTTGCCTGGCCTGCGTCTGGGGCGCCCTGCAAGGGGCGGGGGCCCAGGTCAGACACCGAAAGTGTTGCTGCCTGCGAAGCCACAGCGAGGTGTGGAACGAACGGATACAAGAAATCCATGTATGTGTGTGTATATATATTATATATATATATATATAGATGTATGTGGTCAGTTGGGCTGGGACGGAAAAGGAGCAGATCTTTTTTTTTTCCTTTCGTTTCTGTTGTTCCTACTACTCACAACCACTCCCTACTTCTTTTGCTCGCGTTTTGTTAAATGCTAAGCCGTGGATTCACATGGAGGGTGAGGGGAAAAGAGTTGAGACTATTGTTTCTTATCTGCTTGTTTGTTTGTTTCTTTGTGTGTTTGTTTTCCACCCCGCACTCGTATATACAAACATGCGGCTCTAGAGCGACCTCGAGGTTCCCGTTTTCACCTGCATCTACGCACCCCTCTGCGCACGCACGCACCGCCTTTTTCTCTCGCCCTCTGCGTGTGTGGACAGATGCGTGCGTGCGTGCATGGTGGAGTGCGGACGACGAGGGTGCCGTACACTCCCGCCGAGGCTCCAATACGTAGTCATTGTCGTTGCAGACTTATTTCTGTGCTTCTTGTGTTTTTTTATTCTTCCTTGTTTTTTTTTGTTGTCGCCTTTCGTCCTGCTCCCGCTCTGCCCGCCCCTCCCCCCTCCGCCGCACTCCGCGGGTGTGCGTCCCTCCGCGTGTGCGTGGAGGGGCGTGCGGCCGACACGGCGGGGAGGCGGCGGCGGAGCAGCGGCGGAGGCGGCCGGACGAGGGGAAGAAGCAACGCAACGGCGGTGTCCTCGGCCTGCGCGGGAGGTACTTTGGCTGAACAGTCTCTACGCCCGAGCCGCCCGGTGGTCCTTGACGTCGTGTGCCGCCTGAGCACATTGACGTCAGTTCCCCCTTCACCCCTCTTTATTTATCTTTTTTTCTTTCTTTCTTCTTCTCGGCTTTATGGCCCTTTTTTTTGTTTGTTTGTTTTCGTTAAGTGTTCCCTTGCCCACGCACCTAACTTTGTTGTTTGTTTGTTTGTTTGCTTGTTTTTTGGTTTTTTTTCTTTTGGTTGGTTTTTCCTTCATTTTCAAAGCGGACTAAGGACGCAAAAAAAAAAAAAAAGCGAGAGCGAGAGAGAGCGGGTAGGCTGAGCGCTCCACTGGATGCCTTCGCTTGGCACGAAGGGCAGCAGGCTTGAACGCGGTGTGTGGTGAGCCAAGCGGGAGAGCGTGTGTGCATGTGTATGTGCGCGGGGCGACACCCAGACAGAGAAGCACGCGTGCAGAAGCGTTCGTGAAAAAAAAGGAATCTTTCCCCCTCCCCCCCCCCCCCACTCATTCACTTGCCGGCTACATCTGCCTTTTGTCTTTTGCCTTTGTGTCTCCCCTCGCCTTCACTGCCCCGTTGCTCCTCCTTTTCCTCCTCTGCTGCTGCTGCTGCCGCGCGTGGCTCTCGCTCGCTGCGTGCGTGTGTGGGAGGGAACGAAGGAAGCGGCAGGGGCGCTTGAACTCTCGTTCGCTGCTCTGCCCGTTCACAGGAGGAAGGGTGCACACACACACATACACACACAAGCAGTGCACGTTAGCGCATACACGCGGATGTCCGCGGCAAGCCCGATGCGCGTGCCGGCCACGCCCGTGGTGGAGTGCGTCGACATCCACCAGATGTACGACGTTGAGCACGCCACGCTGGTGGGGAAGGGCGGCTTCTCGCGCGTCGTCGCCGTGCTGCACCGCCCCACGAACACCATGCGGGCACTGAAGATCATGATGAAGGAGATACTGCGGGGAAAGGTGGCGGAGATGGTCCTGCATGAGCAGGAGATTCTCCGCCGCATCTCCCACCCAAACATAGTAAAGCTGCACGAGACCATCACCACCCCGCACCACGTTTACTTTGCGTTGGATTTAATGGGCTGCGACCTCTTTGCGCTGATTGTCAGCAACAAGCGCATCCCGGAGGGGGGGGCACGCTGCATCATGCACCAGCTGCTCTGCGGTATTGCCTTTTTGCACAGCCAGGGCATCGTGCACCGCGACGTCAAGCCGGAGAATATTCTTATAAACATCTCGAACAAGCGCGGCAAGGCCGACTCCGCCTCCTCTGCCTCCACGGGGAACGTTGTTGCCGCCGCGAATAACGAGTGGGAAAAGTCGTTTAACTTTGAGGTGAAGCTGGCGGACTTTGGCCTCGCCAAGCTGGTGCAGGGGTGGGATGTGCAGTCCACGCCCTGCGGCACCTCCTTCTACATCGCGCCGGAGGTAATTCGCGGGATTGAGGCCCAAGGCACCAAGCCGCTCTGCACCACGCAGGAACTCGTCAAGAGCGTCGATGTCTGGTCGGCCGGGGTTGTGCTCTTCATCATGCTCTCCGGCCGGCCCCCGTTTCACGGGCAGGTGACGTCGAGCGAGGAGCGGCGGCAGCTGCTGCGCCGCATCGATCGCTGGGTGCTCTTTTGCGCCAAGCAGGGCTGGGACGGCATCAGCGAGGAGGCGAAGGACCTGATTGTCCGCATGCTGGAGCAGGACGGCGCGAAGCGGCTGACGGCGGTGCAGGCGCTGCAGCACCCGTTCTTCACGAACCACGGCCTCATGGCGCCCTCGCCGGGGGGTCCCAAGGCCCCGCTGGCTCTGCGGCAGCTGCCCGAAGAGCGGCCACCGGCACACAAGGCGCAGCCGCAGCAGCCGCAGCAGCCGCAGCAGCCGCAGGCGGCGGGCGAAGCGGTGCGGTGCGAGGTGAAGAAGGAGCAGGGCGAGGCCGGCTGGAGGGACGCGGATGTGCCCAATCAGATGGTCACGAAGAAAATTAGGGAGTTTCTGAATATGCTGCGGCCCAAGAGCCACGCGAAGCGCCCCGGTGGAAAGACCCCGCTGGCGGAGGGGCAGCCGCGGCCGCAACCGCAGGAGGGGGGGGAGGAGGAAGAGGAGGAGGAGGAGGAGGAGGAACAGGTGCGGGGCATGCAGGCGGAGATTGACGCCCTCCAGAAGGACATCGTGGAGACGGGCGATACGGAGGGTGATAAGACAAGCTACACGCCGAAGATGCCGCTGATGGCGGGCCCGCGCACAAAGCGCCCCGCCGTGATGAATGCAAAGGCAAAAGTGGGCCCCGCCGCCCTCAAGCGATGAGCAAAAATAAAATAAGAAATAAACGGAACAAAACGAACGGTTTTTTTTTTACAACAAAAAAAACGAGGAAATAACTTACGAGAG